TATAAAAAATAAAAAAATTATTTAATTTCGGTTCTTATTCGGTTATTCGGTTCTTGATCTAAACTCGAGACCCGACCCAAACCTATCGGTTCTCGATTCGGGTACCGGTTCGGGTATTTAATTTATGAAAAACCACTCGGTTCGATTCGGTTCGGGTTCGGTTCGGGATTTTTGGACACCCCTACTCCCCATTCCCTTCTGTCTACATATCATTTAGTTTTAATCACATATTTTATGGGAGATGTCATATTTTATAAATTTCTTCAATTTTTTTTTTTAACTAAAAATTTAATTTTTAGCAAAATCAAATAGGACTTAATGTCACGTAAATTGGTGCAAAAAAATTATAAACGATGTTGACCCAACTGTTGCACAAATTAGGAATGACTACAGGGCAATCCTAACCATCGGGCATGCAGCATGTTTGGAACGAGGGTTTTTGTCATACTAAATCGAAATAAAAAAAAAAAAAAAGAGAGAGCTGGCCCTTCAGGTAAATAATGGACTTGGAGGGCACTGTCTCTGTTACTGAGCTCAGCCCGCACCATAATCTGAAATCAATGAATGGGAAAATGCTTTAACTTCGATAAAATTTCAACTCCCAGGAAAAAAAAAAATAAAAAAATAGAAAGAGTTGAACTACAAAATTTTGGAAAATAAGAAAATAGTTCAATTATATTATATATCTGGGACTGAGTTTCTTAATTTTCTATTTTTAATTGATTAATTAAGCTTTTATTTCTAAATTTAAATTTATTTTAAAACATCGGTTAGAGTATTTGAAAAATTTTGGAACAGATTTTTGGTTCCCCAACTAATGGACAATACTCAGTAGTTTTGAAATCAATGTAAATTTGAAAGGGCGCGCTTGCAAATTGAAGTAAATAAAATGCAAAACTTTCAAGTATGTGGGGAATGAAATTTACACATTATAATTAAATTTAATAGGCACGACATCGATCGTCTAGAACTTACAAGGTACATTTCAATGCAAGACTAAATTAGTCACTATATCGATAAGATTATTAATTGCACACTAAGCCCCTGTTTGGTCTATATTATTTTTTCATTCTCATTCTTCTACTTATTTTCAACCACAAATTCTTCAATAAAATAATATTTTTTATCACATCAATAACTTTTCCTTCTTTTTCAACTACATATTCCCCGTCACATCAACAAAAAATGCATTCTTGCCCCGAAAATGTGCACCAAACGGTTAATAAATAAAACATTGGACAAGCATAAACATCTATCACATAAAGTACATGGGTCGTTACAGTAAGCCTAAGTACAAGGCATCACCCACTCCAACCTAAAAGAAATAAGAATCTTGCTACACTCACAGCCCGGGTGACAGCTTGGGTGACAGCCCTCTCACATTCAGGGGCGGGGCCCACGATTAAAATAATCAAATTCAGGGGCGGGGCCCGCAGCTTTGTGAGGGTGCTGTGACCTGAGCTGTACAGCTGGGGCTGTACATTTAGCAATTTCGAAGAAATAAATGCTTCTTCCATCACCATAATAAAGTCAGGATCTTCAAGGCCTTGAACCCTCTCTTAGTAGATTGGTATACTAGGTTGCTTAGGCCATGCAGGTTCTCGAGGTTGAGTACTAACCTCTACCGGTCAAGGGTAGCCCTAATGAACAAGAAATATAATAACAGGGGATAAAAATGGGATAGAAGCCTGCTATTAATAACAGAGAAGAAGATGAAATTCAATTCATACTTGTTTGAGAATTACAATGCATAAGAACTNAGCAGGGAAGTAGATGAATTATTCATTCATGCTTGCTTAAGGAATTACAATGTAAACTAATCTATTTATAGAGAAAATACTAACCAATTATCTAACAAATCTAACAAGATAACAAACTTAAGAAGCAACTAGAATATGCTAGAATAACAAAGCTGGAATCAGAGACTGCAACGTGCAACTTGCTGGTGGCTAAACTGAAGGTTTGCTAGTGAACTGGAGTGAACTAGAGGCTGAACTGCATGAGCTGGTTTTGTTGGTGAAGCTGCTGGTCTTGCTGTTATTGGTGAGTGGAGTTTAATATTCCAACACTCCCCTCTCAAGATGGAACATCTTGAACCATAGAGGAAGAGAGTAGAGATGCAATCAAGGAGCATCTTGTTTCGAATCATTTTCCTTAATTGCATCTCTACTCTCTTCCTCTATGGGAGTGTTGGAATATTAAACTCCACTCACCAATAACAGCAAGACCAGCAGCTTCACCAACAAAACCAGCTCATGCAGTTCAGCCTCTAGTTCACTCCAGTTCACTAGCAAACCTTCAGTTTAGCCACCAGCAAGTTGCACGTTGCAGTCTCTGATTCCAGCTTTGTTATTCTAGCATATTCTAGTTGCTTCTTAAGTTTGTTATCTTGTTAGATTTGTTAGATAATTGGTTAGTATTTTCTCTATAAATAGATTAGTTTACATTGTAATTCCTTAAGCAAGCATGAATGAATAATTCATCTACTTCCCTGCTGTAATTCAGCAGGTCTATCCTTTTCTCATCCGGCTCTGTTCTTCTCTGTTACTACATTATATTCTGTCCCCTTTTTTCTCTGGTTATTTTCAGTTCATCAGTTCCTTCCCTTCCTTGATTTTATCATGGTATCAGAGCTTTCTTTCCTTGAATCTATCACCGCTCCACTACTTATCTCCCATGAAGCCTCCTAACATGCTATTAATGCACAAACGACACACTTAGCAAGGACAAGCCCACATCCTCCCACATCACACAATCATAATTCCATGATGGCTACACATCCTTTCATAAAAGTTGACTGTTACATACGGGAGTGAGCACCACATGCTCGAAGACTCCACATATAGAACACCCAACCTCGACCTCAAACTCATGTGCACGGAGCCACAGATGATACCATTATCATCTCGGCCTGGGCTAGCAGAGGTAAGGGTCCCCAACCATACAAGTCCTTGACCTTCCTTGACCTACTAGTGTCTCCGAGGTGGACCACCTTCCTCAACCTGACGTTGGGTACCCTGGCCTATTTACTTAGCCCTTCGGAGAATGCCACTAGGTAGAGATGGCAATGAGGAGGGGACAACGCCACTCCCCCGCCCCGTTTCGTGCCCTTTTTTTTTTCAATTAAAATACAAATTCAAAATTTTAAAATTCAAAGCAAATAATATTCAAACTAATTACATTAATATCCGAAACAAGCACTCGAAAAAAAAATGTCCAAAACAAGCAATGTCCAAAAAAAAAATTTATTCTTCACAGGGCGGGTTCGGGGCGGGAAAAATTGTCATCTCTACCACTTGGGTCGGGGTCCCTTGATCCTCTCATTAGCCTTATCCTTGGAGCTCAACCCCCTAGCGAGACTAGAATTCCTACTACATCTAACTCAATTAGTTCCCCCCTCGAGATCTCCTGTGTCCTACCCACACTAGAAGTTAGTCCAACCTATCTGGTCAACCTAAAATTCTACAACTACTCTATTTATTATAGATTACACCTCATTAGTTCTATGTATACCTAACAATTATTCATTATTCTAATTTAAGAATTGATAGGGCATAGGAGCGGAGTCCAACATTTTATATTATGGGTCAAAAATTAAAATGCGAACATTAACGAAAATAAGTAAATACACTACTATGATTGTAACATACGCGTTTTCATACTTCGCAAGAAGTCAAAGACGAAAGTAAAGATTTTGCGGGGAACTGAAATTGAAATTTGCAAGCAATAATTCGTTAATCTATACATTCAATTTTTAACGCATTGTCGACAAAGAACTAATCCAATTATGCCTAAAAAACCAAATTTCGTTAAACTTCGAAATTGCCGAGATCTTGAACTCCAAAAAATCCTCCATTCAAAATAGTAATTTCAACGATACCCTTATCTTCCCAATCACATTTTGTAACACCCTAAGTCTAGAAGATTCTAAACTTATGAGTGCTAGCATAAATTTTCATTTATAAAATATATATGCAGCAAAATAGATAAAATTGAATAACATCCATTGAACCTAATTGATATTATAATTTATCCTAAACAACTGCGTAAAGAACATTACATAGTCTGAAATGATTTATTTATGATAATTAAAGTAAATTCAAAATGGTTTAATTTTTCTTATTAGAGTGGAAGTTGAACATTCAATTCGAATAGTACTGAATCCATATTGCCTCAAGGAAGTCGCATCG